TGGCTATGGACCAAAATGAGGGATAAAAAGAATCAACTAAAGCCATCTCTGCCCATAATTTGTTAAACACTTTCACATAGCTTTTCCCATCTGTGTCCTTCAATTTGTCTGACAGACTTTAAAGCCAGTATCTCTAAATAAGCCAGTGAGCAGTATCCTCTTTCTCTTCCCCCAAAAAAGAAAGAAAGAAAAAGTCTCTGTGAAGCTCTACGAAGCACATTTAGATTCTTACTGTCCTTTATCGTTTCATCATATCTCAAGCAGAAACTCGGAAATTTCATTCAACTAAATTGTTCTCTCAATTATGTGTTTGTAGCAAAAGGGCTGTCAGGATTACCTTCAGAAGCAATATTTATTTATTTATTACTGGATGAAGCTCCACATTTAAAATATGTGTCACACATCTTTTTCTGTGTTAGACAAGAGCTTTCCATGACTTTAACCAAGTGCTGTGACTGACTAAAAAGGTCCATAAAAAGGCACCGAAGGAAGATATACTGTATAATCAGATATTTTAGTTGAAAGAAACTGCACATTACAACTTGTCAAATACCTGAATGTAAGTATTTAATGGGACTCTGTGCAATGCCTATTTATTCAAAAGCTTTTAGAACCACCTTTAGCACCAATCATTTTAAGCAATCATTTTCTGTATGATTTATTAGTCTCTCACATCAGTGTGGAGGAATTTTGGAGTCGTCTTCTTTACAATTTTGATTCAGTCCATTTAGATTTCTATGCATTCATTCATACACAGTTCTCTTAAGGTTCTGCCATAGCCTGTCAACTGGGTTGAAGATTGGACTTTGACTGGTGCTATTGCAACAACTATATTATTTTATTTTTTAGTACTGATTTGCTGCTGTGCTTGATTATTGTCCTGCTGCATGGCACATTTTTGACCAAGCTTCAGCTGTCAGATCCGTGGCTTCACATTTGAATACTTTGGAATACAGAGGGATTCATGGAAGACTGAAAACCATCCCAAAGCATTACCTCTCCACCACCATGGTTGACAGTTGCTATTTTTGCTGATAAACTTTGATTTTCATCAGATGTGACCTATGCATTACGACCAAACATCTCCACTTTGATCTCATCGGTCTAAATGACATTGCTCCAGAAGTCTTGTGTTTTATTCTGATGCAACATTACAATCCTACACTGTGCTGCCATTTTCTCTTCAGAGAGAAACAAATCATACTTAATCTATTTTCTTCTTTTTGAAATCAGGGTTGTTAGCTGCCATAAGGTGAGAGGCAGATGAGAGCTTCTTTTTTCCAACTGGACTGTCATGACATTTAACATGCTAACTGAGGCTTATAAAGTGTGACTTGTAGCTTTTGGGTTTTTTGCAGTTTCTCCAAGCACTGATGGTCCGACCTTGGTTTGAATTTGCTGGATCGTTAATTCCTGCCTGGAAAGATTACGGCACTGTATTAACATATACCCGAATGCTCCAGACCAGCAAACTGCCAAAACTTCTGCTTTTTTAGTGGCGATCACACTAGCAGATGATCACTTAATCAAGAGCATTTGATTAGCAGCACTCGGTTGTACTTACCCTCTGAACTCTTATGGGAGCAGCTATGGTGTGTTTTTCATAGAACTGCAGAGAGTTGCATAAAGACTTCGTTTTTCATATGGCTGCAATTATCAAAGTGTCCAATACATAATTATGGAAAGTTTGATAATTATTTGCATGGAAATGATTAGATAATTAGCTGCAAAGAAGTTATATTTATATGAGAGACAGGGTTGTACTTTACATTAATACTGTTTCAAATGCCAGAAAAATGATACCTATTGTGATATTGTGTAAGTAAGAGCCCTTTTGGAATGAATATGTTACATTTTGAAAGCTACAGATTATAGAACGCTCAAATTACATGTACTGACATATAGTATCCCAGCTGTTTTAGGCTGATTAGTTTGTCTGAAAAAAGGCTAAAAGAAGGATGACAGATTTACATTTCTTTAAATCCTTCAGAAAAATATAAAGGCATATACACCTGGTCTCAGAAGTCTCCAACCATGCCTTTTGCATGGAAAATAGAAGTAAGAGAAGCTGTCAAACTGTCAAATAGGCTTCTAACGCAGTATGTTGATTTACCACCCAGAAGCCATTTGTGGGCTGAAAGTCTTTGGCACTGACACTAAGTATTGCTGCTGTTCAGATTTAAATAAGACATACAGTATATTTATATTGTCCTTGTATGAAAAACATTCTAATGAGGGAGTACATAGTTAAGGCAGCATGTGGTTGGCATTGATTTGATTGTACAGATCTGCTGAGGTTTTCTTTTTAGCAACAAAGGTTGTGCACCCCACCTCCCCACCCCAGTTCCCTCCACCTTTATTTTTAATTTTTTCTGCTCAAGAGAGCTCAAGGAATTAAAATTCATATTTCATCAAAGCGTGAACAAAATGCTGATAACAGAAAATATTTCTGAATGCATCTTTAGTTAGAAGACTGAAACGTCTCTGAGTTTTATGATTGTTGCCAGTTTGGTATTACTGCAGTGCTGTGTAGGAGAATTATACTAAAGTAAGTCGCAATTGTGGCTCAGTATATGTAATGGGAAACTAAAAGGTCCAGTTTTGTGCACCTGGATCTGACTTTACATGAGGCTATGAAAATGAACTAAGGTAAGAGTCCCACTAATTTAGCTCCTCAGAACAGGATTATGTTTAATCAAAGTGAAATTGGCATGTGTTCTAACAAGCTACCGTTTTAGTTATGCATGAAGAGGCAAGTTCTGACTTTCACAGATGTGGAAACTAAAATGTTTTATGAGAGTGCTGAAAATGTTTCTGGTTCACCGACTAAAGTCAGATAGATGTTAACAGATTCAAAAATAGCACATATGGAACCAGTAATTTTAAATTGTTTTCTAAATTAAGACTTACTGTGGCTAATTATGTCTGACACATTCATTCATGGTTACCGTGTACACTGATGGCTGCTAGATAATTGTTTCCAGCCCTTTTCAGTCACATAAAAAATAAAAGATGTAGTATGATTTAGCTAACACAACTAGTACATGACAAATTAGCTAAATTACAAGATTCCAAAGGTTATAAAAATCATGGATCCAACAAGATGTATGAATAAGGTGCTGGGTACTATGATCCAGTGTTATGAAATGACTCGGTTATCACTGGCATAGACTGTAGAAGTAAAAAAAAAAAAAACCAGAGAGAACAACATTTGTACAAAAGATATATTCCCTTGGGCAGAACTGGTTAAATATTTACTGGATTAATAGATTAATATCCTACTAGTGTAATATTTTATAGTGTAGTGGTTTACAAATTTGGCTTAAAAGTGCAGGTTCCCAGGCTCAGTCCTATGAGAAAACACATATCCCTTTAAGGTTCCTTCAGGAAGGGCATGTAGTTAAAAATTTGCCAAATCAAATATGTGGTGCTATGTGCTATCACCTTGAGATGAAGGGGATAGTCAAACATAAGTCTTATTGGTGAAGCTCAAAGAATGGCAATATTGCTTGTTATGCTGGTTAGTCCAACATTTAGACTGAAACATCTTAACATTTAATGGACTGTCATGAATATTTTACAGATATTGAGGTTCCAAAGATGATAGATTGATCTGACTTTGGTGATTCACTGTCTTTTCCTGTAGCAGCACGCAGTGTTACAGTGCAGGATGGACTGCATCAGCAGTTGTTGGATGGATCGCCATATACTCTGGTGCAGAAATGTCCAATACCCCAATCTGATTATAGCACCATTATCAGCTCAAACTTTTAATGTGTCTAATATCTTGGTTCATCTAACAGTTTATTTTTCTTCACAAGCGCTAACACACCATCACAGAACCTTAATGACGATATTGCAGAAATGCAAGCAGTTCACCTGCTCTGACTGGATTTTTTAAAAAATATTTTCAAGAATCTAAATCATTATGTTCAGGTTTGAACTGGACAAGTGGTTTGATTAATCAATAAAGAACTGAGTATTTATCAATAAGGAAGCTAAACTCATAGAGTGCAACTGTGACTTGTATAATAGCAGTTGAGAGCAATGCCTAAAATACCAGTCCAAAATCCCTTTTAGTTACTCTTTTGATGTGCTGACAGTGAAGACCGTAGCACACAATTCACCTCATTTTCATACCCATCAAGCCGTTCAGTTATGCTTTATGAAAGTGTCACTGTTTTGTGTTTCTTTAAAAATGCATCCATGTTTTTCCCCCGCAACCACCACCACCACCTCTCTGTAGATAGGCTGTCACTATTTACTTTAAACATAGATTCTCTCACAGCTCTCATTCGATTTGTTGTGTGATCAAAACAACATGTAATACAATACCATTATGACTAATTTATATTCATCTTTGTTCTTTCTCTCTCTCTCTCTCTCTCTCTCTCTCTCTCTCTCCCTGTCTTTCTCAATCTCATAAAACAGCCTGGCTTCAGTGACCAGGAGCCGCTCTGTCACGTAGCTGACTTGTGGTTCATTATGTCATCTAATGAGACAGGCGGTTCATCTCAGATCAAATGAAACCACACTCACTTCTGTCTGTCTGTAGGTCTGAAAGTCACTAAAGCTCCTCGCCTACTATCCTAGCCTATATTTCATCTTATCACTATTGGCAGTTAGGACTCAGTAAATCAGTAAGAAGATGACATTGATGGGAATGATGAAAAGATATATATATGTGTGTGTAGATATGTGTACTGACTTTAACATGGTGGTCAATTCAGATTCTTTCTGCACTTTTTATGTGGAAGAAAGCTGGTAGGATGTGCACATGTTGAACGGTTGAATGTGGGTTTATTTGTGGATGCAGACCGTTTTGGATGACTGAATAGAGCATAACGCCTGTAGGTGGCAACCATAGGCTACCTCATCAACAACTGAATCACACGTGCGCGCGTACCGACGCACACACACACACACACACACACACGCAGAGACACACAAACACACACACGTACACGGAGACATTAGACCTGGGCTTGCGTTAATGCTATTGATCCCTGATAATTAACGACCGCTGTGTGATTTAAATGGGCAGATGGACGCGCAGGCAAAGTGGTCAAAGTTAAAGTGGTCCCTAGGCGATTTTCGGGAACACGCTCTCGCCCACACGTGCCCGCACCTGCATACACTTAGTAGCCTAGCTACACGCGCACACACGTGATTCGCTCACACGCACGCGCGCGAGCCAGATCTGTGCCTGGAGACCGTGATCTCAACGTGCTCACTATTCCAGTCATGGACTGCAGCGAGCGGGGGGACCATTAGGAGACGGTGGGCAAGAAAAAAAAAAGGCGCTTTATTTGCAACACACGGAGGATGTTGGTGCTGTCTCACCACCCGGATCGGACACATGCTCCCTGACAAGCGGAATTATTACTAATAGCTGCGCTTATGTAATCAATGCGCCGGGTTGCTGTGTGTGTGTATGTGGGGAGGGGGAAATAGCACCCTGTAGAATCTTCCCATTTGACTTAATAGAGAATACTGTATGCCATATGCTCTTAGAGGAGCCTATGACAACCCATTTGTCCTGATGCGACGCATGTGATGGTTGCAGTGGGACGGATATCCTTAATTTTATCCAATAGGCGTCCTCAGGTTTTCTTTTTTCTTTTTTCTTTTTTTTTTTTTTGTAGGACGGTTCTGCACCCCGTTCGTTCTGCGCTGACCTTATCAGCAACGCTTTAAATGGGTAATTGTTAACTGTCAGGTGTTTCCACTGGTTTTGTTCATCTTTATTAAAAATTCACAGCCAAACAGGCATATCTGTAAGAATCAGTCCACTTTTTTCTTTTTTTTTTCTCTCTCTCTCTCTTTTGTGCGTTTCCCCCCTTTCTCCCCCCCCCCCCCCCCCCCCCCCTCCCTCTCTCTTTTGGTCGAATTTGGTTTGGCGATTTTCAAAGAGGAAACCACCGGTGGGAGTCAGTTTTGGACTGTGACTCGTCTGGAGAGGAAGAGGGGGCCTATTCGGACTTGACCATCTAAAACTCTGCAGGATTTCCTCCTCTCAAGTCCAGAGGAATACCTTCAAGTCCAGGGGGGCTACTGCTGGTCCTCTTGAGCGTTTTTCCCCCGCTCGCTCATTGGCGCTCGTTGCATCCGAGGGAATGGTAGCCGCACCGCAGATCCACGCAACTCTTTCTGAATGTTTGGCATTTTTCGCTGGCGAACATTTTGACTTGTGATCGAGAAAAGACGCGGACTGCAGCAGCCTCTAATCCCTTTCACATGGAGATTTGTGCCTCGGTCGTACTGCAAATCTTGAAAACGGGGACCAGGGCCCTGCTGCTTTTTCATTCGATCAACCTCAATTTCTTTTATTCGAGAAAATGCGTAAGTATTTCACTGAATTCACTCCAATACAGCCCGTTTGGTGTGATGTGGTGCTGTGCATCCCCATGTAGACTAATCTCCCATCGCCATTTAACCCGCAATTTGGTTTGCTGGCAGACTTCAATGTAAGGAAAGCTACTTTTTAAATATTCTTTCATACGTCCTTCTTTTCTTTCTTTCTCTATGGGTTACGGTAGCTGTCGCATTCTCTTTCGGGTGTGAGCGATTGTGTGCGTTCTGGATTTGTGTGTGTGTCTGTGTGTGTGAGACATATGGGCTATATAGAGAGAGGGATAAAGATAGATAGGAAAGGGGGTTGAGGAGATGTGGGGGTAACTGATGCACCAAATCGTGTGTTTGAGCGCTCGGTAGACACCGTGAGTCTGTGTAGTCTCCGTTGCCAATAGGACATTAAAGCTAGAAAAAGGCCGACGTCATATGGTAATTCAAATTCAGTTCAGGTATTCTCAGCATACACGTTTGCAGCAAAAAGGGCGCCGGATTGGCCAGGTGGGCTGGCTGGTCCAGTGGAAGGGCGCTTTGAGTTGGAGGTTTGAGTCATGCTTTATTGTATAAAATATGCTCGTTTATGTTTTTTGTTCTTTTCCCTGTGCTTATACTGGTGACCCAGTGTATCTCAAACCAAGCAACTCGTGAGTGATACAGCTCGAGCAGAAAATAGGTTTTGATTCTCCCCCTAACACAGCCTGAGCAGGTCAGAGAAAGTATAGGGCAGCATTTTAAAATCTAAGCTGTCAAATCTTGAAGGACTTGTTGGGTTTAAGTAGCTTTAGTAATGCAGTCTTCAAAGAGAAAGCAAATTGAATAGGAGCTGTCCATCAGTGGGAGGTGCTGAAAATGCCCTGATGCTGAAAATACATGTGTGTTGGTTGAAATAGGCACATGGAGCTGGCATTGTTGGTGCAGGCATCAGCTAAAAGCAGTCCACTTAAACCTGAACCGGTTCCCTCTCAACTACACTCATCCACATTCACTTCTGGCGATTTTACAGCATGCCTGTAAAATGAAGGGCACGGGCTGAGTGTGAATGAGTCTGTGATTCAGGGTTGGTTAACACAAATTTGCATGCACATATAGGCAGAGCCTTCTCATTATACGATATCTCATATGTGCTGTTGTTTGATGTAACATTTTTCACGAGTAGACACTTAAATAGGCTTTTCTGGTAAGCACTGGTGCAGTTGTTCTTTATGATCAGTAGGTTGCTAAAGAGCCAGGTTGTTGCAACTGTACTTCCCAGCATGTAGTTTATACAAACCTGCTTACTAGAAAGTTGACTCAGTGTTGAAGTATAAGCGAAAAGGAACACCTATACTTAGCATAAAGACAACATGTCATGTCTTGAAATCATTACAATGCAACTACCTCGTTGCAAGAAACGTGGGTCAGGTGAATGTTAATTTTTTTTTTCTGTCACCCCTTTTCTTAAAGTTACTATAGTTTTGAAAGCAAAGTGTTTCTTTCTTTGTTGTATTTTTCCATTTCATAATTTGTTAGTTGTTTTCAGTGAGCCACAGGAATGCAGTTAGCCCTGTTTAGCACCTGGAATACAGAGCTGTGCAACTATTACATTTGAAGAATGGGGTTTGACATTGTATTGCTGAATTAAGCAAGAACTGTCGTAGAAGGCATATAATGCTCTAACACCTGTATGTATCATTCACCGCTAAAATGCATTCCCAGATGTGCACATTAACCATGCCATCGCAACTTGATTGTGATGGTATTTGTTCATTCAGTACAAGTTTTTTTTTTCTTTGTAAATTCCAGTTTTAACTTGGCGTTGTAGATGAAGCAACACCACATTCATCAACAGCATTTTTTTTTAAATCTGAAATTTGAAATCTCTCCTGCCATTTTTAATATTTCTCAGTTTCAATATTTCACATGTCATGTTTTACTATTGCCAGTCAAATGGGGTTCAGATGATTTCCAAATCCCTCCTTTCTTTTCCCATCTGCTCTTTAAACAGCGTTCCCAACTATTTAGAAATCTGGGTTATTGTAGAGTATACAGTTTGCCCTCTATACTTTAAATATATATATATACATACTCCTTTCTAAGTGATTTGCAACAGTTGTTTTACAGTTTTAAAATTCAAGTTCCTCCATGTGTAGTTCTGTTTGTGAAATCTGGAGATACCCTGTTATTGGAGTGTGCTGTAAGTGCTAAAATTAAGGCCACACACGAGTAAGTGTCTCAATAGGGCATTGGGCCACCTGAGGAGTAACAGCGAGCTCTTAGTTTCTGAAAAAAAGGAAACCTGAAGCTCAGCTGGAGAGTTGTGAGTATTTCCCACCAGAAGTTCATATGAACCTTAAAGATGGTCAGCATCATTTTTATTGGAAAAGCTGTAGTGCTGTGTTTGGTTTCAGTGCTCGAAAGCAATGAATGGGGGGGGTGTCTTAGGTTGTCCTGCAGATTTGGGTTTATCACCTTGTGTATTCCTCGGTTATGAGGCCAGAAACACCCAAAGCACGAGAAATATGTTCACCCCGACAAGCATTGTCAGTTCTGGCATTTACCTGCCTACTAAGGGACCAAATGGACATAAGGCATGCCAAGACCAGTCACCAGAGCAGCTCTGACAGAAGCCTTCGCTGTAGGAAATAAGCACTTGGGTGAATAAATTTCTTTTCATGCATGCCACGCATGTAGTCAACCACTGGTTCAAAACAGGGTGAACGGTGACTCATCTAACCACCTCAGATCTTTTTTTTTTCTCTCCTCGTTATAGCGATGCATTTGTTCTCATCCAACCTGCTGCATAAAAGAGCTTGTTTGTAATAAGGAGTTTACGTGATTCAGATTCACCGTCACTTCCCTCCTTAAATATCGTTTTTGCTAAGCTGCCTCCTTACTCCCCCAACAAACATTTGCAGCAGGTTGAATCATGTTGCCTCGCCTGTGTGGGGTTTTTTTTCTCTCCTTGCTTTTGGAAACGATGGACACAGCGGAGGCACGCGTGTCTCTGTTTTGCTCAGGCACTTGTGTTGTTTCACAGTTTTCTCTTTGCATTTTCCAATTTTCAAACTTCATTAAGTCAACTAATGTACATTACAGAAACTCCACAATCTATCCACTGATTAAACTTTTTTTTTCTTTAAGCCACAGGAACCAAAATAATGAGCAACTGGGTCTGCCCATGGTTGCTACACGCAGCACTAAGCATGGTAGGATGTTAATCACGGAGTAATTTGAAGGACCAGTCGCACACACGCAAACACACACAAACACGTGTGGAATAAATGTCTTCTTTTTTTTTTTCTCCAGTCTTTTAGATGTTAAATGTCCAGTCATCCAAACTAGGATTCCTAATTAATTCCCCCAAATCCTCAGGTTATGGGTCAACCCCACAAAGTTCAATCTGATTTCAGCATGACATTTTCAAGACATTTTCAAGACTCTGAAGCTGAAGCTACTGCGGTAGATTAATGCCTGTTTTTAAAGCCTTTTTCTTTCAACTTGACAACGGCAAGAAAATAAAAATAAAAAATTGCTGATTCATTTTCAAATGACTATCTTCTCCATTACACTTAAGCTTCTGGCAATTGATGGAGTCAGTCAGTGTTTTTGAGGAATACGTTTTGTTGTTTCATCAATTTATATCGTCGCCTTGCCCGTCTGCATATATCTCTGCTTGATATGGGAATCATTTATGGCTGAGCTCCTGTCTGGGTAAAGTGAAAAAAACACACACACAGCACAGTCCGCCCCAGGGCTTTGTGTTATATCTTAAATAATACAGAAGGATTGTTTGCTTTTCTATATGTATATTTAAAGCACGTATCCGTGTGACGTAAATATGTAAGTGGGTCGCGGCTGGAGATTAGAATGACTTCCAGCCGGCTCCATTTTGATAGATTGCACTCTGTATCTTTCCAGTAGTACCTCCACAAAACATGTGTTTGTGTCGAGTCAAGAGACAAGGCTGATCTGAGCGAGTTGGACTGCTCGGGTGTGAAAGAGTCCAACGCATGCCAGGCTGGAGAGAGACTTAGTATTCACTGTAGCAGCTTAAGTTATGCCTTTGTGCACCAGAAAGGGGATTATTCAGCGAATCCTGCTCTGTGTCATTCACGAGTCTGCATTTCTAAATCAACAAATATTAGTGTGGTGATGTATGAAGACGCTGCATCTGCGTGTGTGCCTGTAGAACTAACTGCCTGCTCATTACGGCTGCTTGTGGCTTATGTAGAACGGCGGCGTTGAGGCCTGCAAAAAATAAAAAAATAAAAAATCATAACTTATGGCACAAATGTTGCAATTGTTTTGACTGTGGCTGTCGGTGCCTTATTTCACCATCTGTGTTGTGTGCCATGTGTCTGCAGTGGCCTGCAGCAGGAGCCAGCCATCAACTCCATTGAGAGCCTCTGATAGAAAGAGTATGTTCGGGCTACGGGTACCATGTTTCTGCCTGCTAGCAGCAATGAGCCGCTTTCTCGAAATGACATAATGACCTTTACAGATTCTGCTACAGGTTTCTAACAATCTACATATATACAGGTAAAGCTTAAGTCAACATTGTTTTCTGTGATATGAGACACAGCTGAATTCCACCTCCTGCTGCTGAAGAATACATAATCACCGTAAATAATGCCCTAAAGGCAATTATGGCTTTTATTCAGCTACTTTACTGCTTTATTTATTTATTCATTTTAAAAAAATGTTTCATAAGTATATGTAATTCTGTACAAATCAAGTAAAGGCACATCACAGCAGCCTACAAGAAAGCACAGAACTCTGGAAGTCATTGGAGATGTTTATGGGAATTTGCAGCGATGTTCTCATTAGTGTGTTTATTTCACATCTAGTCCCAAGATGATGAAATTAACCAGTTCGTCAAATTCATTTTTTTTAATACTCTGTATTTTATTACACTACCAGTTAGCATAGCGTAAAACGTTTTATTGTTCAAACAGCTCTCCCTCAGCACACAGCAGGTAACTTTAAGACCAACCGTAGTCATTAAAATTTGA